AGGATTCCCAAATGCAAGTAGTGCATTATAAAGTGTGGGCCCTGTGGGAATCTGACAGATACTGATAGCTGGTCCTGGGTTGAAATTTCCTATAGGCATTACAGGATGGACACTGCCACTTGGATGAGGATGCGTGTTAGAGCTTGACTGAAAACCAGCACTAGTTCTCAAGATAGGAAATTCTTGAGAATTCACCCGAGTAAAATTCCAAGATGACATTGATGATATATAGGAGGAAGAGTCATTCAAATGAACTGAATGATTACTCAAAAAGTTTTCCACTTGTTGAGAACCACTAGAACTTCCTACTTCAAAGGTCTGTCTTGAAGCACCTTCTACCTCCCTCGTCTTGCCAGCTAAATTTGCGCTGACTTCAGAATCTGAGCTAATATCCTCCTGCTTTCCCAAAGAGCTAGGAGCTTCTACAGAATGATCGACATTGGAAGAGGAACCCACAGACAGTCTTGGCCTAGCAACATCACTGTTATCTGCCCCTCCTGCATTTAAATTAAAACCCTGATCAGTATCATAGTCAGAAATCAAATTCCCAGTTTTATCAGGGATTCCATTGAAACCACTCTCAACTAAGCTTGTGACAATGCCAACAAGGTTTTGGTCCTTCTGGAATGAAGAAGGTAAACCATGATCATTTCTTGCACCAATGTCATTGGTATGACATTGTTGTGTCAAGCAAGGGCTAGACTGATCAGAATTACTGCTTAAGCATAAATCCTAATCAGCTGCATAAATAAATGTAAAACGCAGTAAAATTAATTTTTAAAACCAAATTAATGAAAATTTAGCATACAACTACAGAAAGACAAAATGCACACCATTATTAAGAGAAATAGAACTGAAGTTGAACTCAATGCTGTCATTAGTGGATAGAAGAGCACTACTTTGACCTCTTATTAAAGACATTGTGCCTCTCAAACAGAAGATGTCTCAACAATTTCCAATTGGACAATTAGCTTAGTATTCCAAAACCCTCTCGCGCAACTGAAGTTGCTGGACCTGCATAGAATTAAAATAAAAAATAAAAAAAAAAAAAAAAAAAAAAAAAAAAAAAAATTAATAATAGCCCTTAGTTGATTGTTTGGAAATTACAGACATAACAATACATTTCGTAAACTTGATACAGCCCAGCCAAATAAAACATTTCAAATGATTTCTTCGTGAATTAAAGAGGAAGTTTTACACTTTGCAGGCATGTAATCTGTCCAAGTAATAAAGTTTGTAGCATAAGAAACTCAAAAGAGTTGGCATAGCATTACAAGCCCTATTCTGTGGCAAAAGTCACTTGATCTTGTTTGAGGAATGCAACATTGCCCTGTATTTGACTATTTGTGTATTCATTATACAAAAATCTTGTCGAGATGGAAATACTAAGGGATTGCAACCTATGCTGTCATAAGTATTTGTAAGAGAATCATAGGAAAAGTTCCACCTAGCAATTACAATTACAAGACACTCTTACACCAGATGTAGGTTTTTAGGGTCTTACAAAATCTATAGAAAGTGCTAGCTCTAAGCTAAATGAAACAATCAGATTGGTGGGGATCAGAATACAAAAGATTACCTTTTAAGGCTAGTAAGATACTTTGCCTTGTTGATTGGTTTTAAAATAAAATCTTTTTTGGGCTTGCATGCGGTCAAACTCCTCCTATCAAAACCTGAAAATAGGCCCAATGAACATATTCATGATAAATAATATTAGAATTTGTTGAAGAGTAAAGTTTTAAGTCCATTAACAGACTTCTTCCAAAAAGTTCATCGATAGAGACATGTTCGTCACACGAGCACAAAACGAAACATAGAAAGGTTAAGGGAGTAACATCACTGTCAGCCCAACAGGTTAATAGAGTTTACAACATCCATTTTATTTTCATTTTTCTTTGTGTAACATATATAAATACTGTATGTCTACATATACATACACAGATATACGAGTTAAATTTTAAATCATACGGAGTAACAAAATAATATACTTTATATATTTATAGCCAAATTCAACAATCAAATGATGCATAAGTCCAACCAAAACCATGTTAAATCAATACATCACACAACTATACAAGTGATACCACATTACCATTCAAAAGAATTTCAATTGTCAACCAAAATCATAATCTCATTTAATCACAAAAAAACGACAACTCTTGGTTGATCGGGTCAAAATGGGTTGGGTTCTAAAAAAATCAGGTTGTTTAATAAGATCGGGTTTCGAGCCACAAATTATGATTCAAACCCATTATTTTGGGTCGGGTTTTGACAGGACCACTGGCCCTAAGTAGAGGTTTCAAAACTAGACCCGACCAATCCAAACAGAAACCGAAGTGAAAAACACCCAATTCAAATTTCAACTCGCACGGACACAATAAATTATCATGATTCAATTTTGAAATTAGACTCGATCCGACCCGACCTCACCGGACCCGACATGGACACCCGAATTGACACCTTTAGCCTTAAGTTCACCCGTTGCATACAAAAACTGTAATCTCCCTCCCAACATACACAATGTCACAATTACACACAACACAACCTCCAAAATAGAGAAAATAACATATTTATACTCAAATAATGCTTCACCAATGCATGCATGAATATATAACTACATTCTGGCAAACAAATTTCAAAATTTAATTAGCACAACTACTTCGTATATATTTAAAGATTAAAACTTTCACAAGAATCAACGCACCAATTTCAATGTATATATCAATTTCATCGCCACGAAACTCATGATTTCATCATCAAACCAAAATTCACAAATCTGAAACAACCGCAAAATTCAAGAGGGAGATAAAAATACAAAATTCAACATTGTAACTACAAATTAATCAAATTGAAGCATCAAATTAACAAAAGGAACCAAATTTAACCGAAAAAAGGAGTAAAAAGTGATAATAAAAAAAATAATAAAGAGAAAGAATACCTGAGAATTTCTTAAGTTGAAGAGGAAATTTACATAGAGAATGGGTTGAATTTCAAAAAAGAATGAATTTTGCAGAAAAATAGGTTGTCTTCTTTGTAAATTGTAACAGATGAAAATAGGAGAGAGAAAGCAAAGGAGGGAAAACTGGAGAGTCCAGAGTGAGAGTGAGAGTGAGTGAATTGAACTTCTTGTTGTTTGACTGTACTTGTACTATTTTGTTTTTTATTTTTCTTTTTTCTTTTTTTTTTGGTTAATATGAACCGTTGGATCAATTGGATATGATATCAATTATCAAGTGAGATATGAAGAATTTTCCTAAAAAAAAAAGTGAGATATGAAGATTAGTGTGAACATGATAATTTGTTATTATGTAAATTGATTTCTTTCCATTTATAAAGTAGCATTAATTGGAAATAATCTGAATTGATTTGTAATTTTTATTATACATTTTCAATTCCCTCCATTTCCAAATGATGTTTTTGTGTTCGATTTTTTTAGTTAAATTTTAAAAAATTTGTCCAATAATTCTTATTAATGTATGCAAAAAATCGAACACAAAAACATCATTTGAAAATGGAGGGATATATCATTTTTTATTATTAGATTCGTGTTTTATAATATCATTTTTTATAAATTTTGTTAATACATAATCAAATATATCGATAGTCAAATGCAAGCCTTGAAACCCGCACAAAGTCAAATAAAAAACATCGTTTCAAAATTGAGAGAGTAGGTTCTTTCGAAGTTTTGAGAGTAGATTCTTTCGAAGTTTTGAGCCGTTGGATCAATAAGTGGAGATGATATTAAGTATGAGATATGAAGATTAATGTGAGTATAATGTAGCATTAATTGGGAAGAATCTGGATTGATATGCAATTTATTACAAGTACTTTTTGTGCTCTATTTGTTCCAAAATATTATTCATATTTTTATTTGTCTTTTCATTGTTTTTGGGCTAGGGAGTTGGGCCGAACAATGCATGTCGTAACCTAGGAAAAGTAGAACTAGCTAAAGCGTGCTTCTCATGTTAAACAGACTTTTGAAAATGTTTAATACCATTCAAAGCCCTTATTAAGTGAGACTGTGAGAGAGAGGGATATTTTAGTTGGCTAGAGCTTACTTTTGAGATTTCTAGGAATTCTAGGATCAATTTTCATCACCCGCCCCACCCTGTTGTAGCTTTCTAAATACTAAAGAATGCAAAATTGTTACTAACTTACTAAGGAGTATACATATACACTTTCTTCTTCTTACTTTATTTTATTTCTATTATGGTAAAGAAATTTTTCTCTTTTATCATTATATATCGCACATGATTCACTCGTACTATTTGCATATAAATTTATTTTATTTCTTATTGTTCCATTCTAACTTTGATGTTACTTACAAATTTTACTTTGACCCTTTTTTTTTTTAACTAATACATAGATTCATGTATCATCATAAAAAATAATATTGAACTTGTATATCAATGTGTAATTTCAAATTATCAATCTTTCATATTTTATTCTTGGAGATAATTAGGTTTTTTTTTTTTTTTTTTTTTGACAGAAAGCATCTCATTTATAATTTAAGGCTTGATTAGTAGTTTAAATTATCAAAGTTGTATATATTGACAAATACATAAGTCAAAGTGAGATAATGTTTAGCCACTTTTAATAAAGTTTACCATGACATCAAAGATTCAAAGGCATCAAACCACCTTTAGTACTCAAGCCCAATTAAAATGCTGTGTCATATGTGAGTGGGAGTGTAAAAATTTAAGCCCATGTGAAAATTCAAACATTAAACACCAATGAAACCAAATTCTCAAGAGTTGACTTATTACATACGAATACTTGCTACTATATTAGATAATTCATAGAATAGCTATAACAATGTTCAACTCTATTTATTTATATAAATATATAATATCAGTCATTAATCACCATATCATTGATTAGCCGATCAAATAATGCATAATAAGTAAACAAATTAAAGAAGACATTGAAGACAACATTCAGCTAGCAACGAATTATTCTTACTATTTACAATTATAATTTATTATCTACATTAGGTAGTATCAACGACCTTTGGAGCAATCCTCGTTTCCAAATTGTAGTTGTTTATTTGGAATATCATATATTATACGGTGATCTACTTGGTGGTCAGATCCTAATATGCTTAAACCACCATCATCTTGTGTACTTTCACCAATAGTCAAGCAATGTAAGCCAAAACCACTTTCGTCGTCATAAAAAGTAAATACTACATCAGGATTCATTAAGAATTTTGCATTATTCGCAAACAACCATGTAACCCAAGGAAGTAGTACGGTTGGCGGACCACGTACACGCCTATAACAAAGGTCGTACCCTACGGTACGAATTCTAGGATCATCAAATCTTACCACATTTGCGTTACTAGCTTCAATATGTGCTGCTACCTCGTCTTTGAAGACGCGGTAGGCCTCCGTGGTTAGACGACTATGAGGTGTGCCTGTGTCGATGATGCATCCTCCATTTCCGTCTTCCTTAATGTCAAACACGCCACTAGGAAGTTCAAGGTCCTTGTTACCCACCCTAATGCCGCGGAGGTCTAAGTAATAGTAAGACGGTTGTTTTGGATTTTGTAACATAGGGACGGTACTAAGCGTCGATGCGGGTGGTTTAACATCGTCTCCAAACCGAAGGTACATTGGTGGCACAATGCCTTTTTGAAACTTTTGTAAGCAATATGAGAATTTTCCTTTAACCAGAGTCTCTGCTTGTTTTATAAAGCCAAATTCGCCTAAACTCATTCCAAATATTCCACTAACCTTATTGTTTTCACCATCACCTGCATTATTACAACACAAAGGGTATCTCAAATAATTTTTATAATGTTATCATGTTAGTCAAAGAAATGATATGTAGGAGATCAGAAAAATCAAATGACCATCGATAAAGGCCAAAAGGTATCATCAATTAAATTAAAATAATTTAATCATTCTAAGACTATAAATTACTACATTTTCAGCGGAGAATAAATGTAACTTGCCTATACGATGATTTTCAATAATCATATTTGATTTTAAAAATTATTTTTTAGAAAATTTTAAAAATAATTAAAGACAAAATGGTGAGAATTCTAAAAACCATCAGATGACATGTATTATATATTTGGTTTCACTTTTAATATAAAGTTACTAGGTTAACTCTCGTGCGATGCACGGATATAATAAAAGAATTTATAATTGTCGATGCACGGATATAATAAGAGAATTTATAATTGTGTAACCTTCAAAGACATATCAGTCAAAATATGTAAAATCTTTGTATTACGTACGATATTATTAACATAAACTAACCAAACTACAAAAATTAAAAATAATATAAACAAAAGAAAATTCACGTACCGAACTTTGTAATTAGATGAAGTAATCGCATATATAAAAGGTTGATATTTGTTTTCCTTAAGATTTTAAAAAGGTTTTTAAAAGAAAAAGTAATGAAAAATTGAAAACTAAAAAGTTTAATGTATTGTATTAAACTACTTTACAATGAGTATTTAAATTTTTGTAAGAAAATATGAAAGTGGAAAAAAAAATTAGGCGGGAAAAGAATGAAGGAGAAGCTGACACATAGTGTACAATTCGAAAAAAATTATGATGTCAGCGGTTGCTATTTTAGTAAGAATTGATTAATTGATTTTGGCATTGTACATAGTGTTTCAGAAGTAGTGTACTAGTATTGATACCTTCTTAAAATTAATAGGAAAAAAAAAAATAATAATGGTGTTGATACCTTCACTAAAGCCTTGCATGTCGATACCGCAACCAAAAATAGCTTGGTCCAGGGCTAGAAGATCAGGGTCAGACTCGAGGTAAAATGTTTCACGAGCCGCAATGGCGACGACGACGCTACCATCTCCATACCGCCGCGACAACCTACAAGTATTGTCCACACATTCTCCGGTAGGAGGACACTCAGAGCAAGGGAGTGGACTATAACTATGAGATTGACTTGCTGGATAATAGGGAACTATTTGATGAAAGCATTTTACACAACCTTCACATTGCGTCCAAATTAAGCCACTTGCAGTATCTATTCCTAGATAAACTGTTTCAAATCTTGGAGATTTATCAAATGTGCCAATTCCCAATTGAACGTAGCGAATATAATTATCTATTTTCATTGCTAGTCGTACTACATCATCATTAGGATTTATAGTGTTGTTACTTTTATTAATACCTAGTCTTGCAAGTGACTTGAGTCTGCGGTTGGAAAATTGAATATGTTCCTTCCTTCGTGTCGCGTCTGTAAGGTTTGCTCGATACAAAGGCGACTCAGGAGAGTCTCGATGAATTAGCCTAAGGCTAAAACCTCTGTGATTGTGGGTGGTAGTATTGTTGTTAGTAGCTTGGATGATTTGAAAAGAATTACCTAGGGAAACAAGGATAGTAATTAGTGAAAAATAAGCTAAATTTGTTGGAATAGCCATTGAAGCTAGTTGTTGAAAGAAAATGTATAAGTGCAAAAAATTGGTGAAATATTTATGATTCAAATTTTCCTATACTACTACATATACCATGTATACATATTATGATTATCTTACTTATAATTAATTGTTGTAATCATCTTTTATTGTGTAGAATTCCTTCTATATTTATTTGGTGAAATATTCATTCTTTAATCTTTTCTATCTTTAGGGGATCATTTTTTTTTTTTTTTTGGATAACAATCTTCTTTAATATGTGATGGTCCTACTTTATTTCTTACAATTACAATATACAAATTCTTGAACTTTTCATCTCCCCTATTTCCAGTTTTAACATTTATTGATTGAAAATTTCTTTCCTTTTAGAGTTGATCACATTATAGGCATTACAATCACATTATAATCTTTTTTAAAAAGTAGAAGGTTTCTTTAAGGGAGAAAAAAAAAAAAAAAAAAAAAAAAAAAAAAAAACTAGAAGGGTATAATGTAAGGCTGAGCAAATTTGTCCGAAAAAACAAAAACCCGATCCATACCGATCCGAAAATTAGGGTACACATTGTTTGGTTTAAACTTAGACTTGGCCCAGCTCAACCTGAAGCTTTGATCCAAAATGGGCCATATATATTGCATAAGGCTCTGCCCAGCCCATAAGTCCATAACCCAGTCTTGATGTAGTAGTACTTTGGTAGGTCCAATCTTTAAAATTCTAACACATGATCTTCTCTTTTGTCATGCATTAGTTAGTTGTAGAACTTTGCATTTGTCATCACGAAAAAAATCGGCTTCAACCGTTATAAGTCATGGGAAAAATCTTCCCTTTCAAGCTATCAAAAATTATAAATTGATTTTTGTTCTTAAAAAAAAAATTCCAAAACCCCCTTATTTTTCCCCTTGTGAGAAAACCGTTGGCACAATGCATTAGAAAAGTTCCGGTCTTGATCATGCATGTCTGCTAACACTAACTGTTAACCCGACCTCTCAGCTCTCACAAGTCCTTCAGCTAAGGTTTAAGTAAATGTTGTGCGAGTTAAACGAAAAACATTGTATAATTATGTCAACTAAACAACATGAAGCATTAAGCTTCGTTCTAAAGGCTAAATCAAATTTAAGACTCATAATTTAAGATAATTAATAACATCAGAAATATGTAGACGAAGGAAAGTTAAGAGGGAATGAAGTAGGACTAAAGTCAAGATCAAAGTGGAAAGGAGATCATATGTTAGGCCGACAGGGAGTTGGTAAATGGTTGGTAAGGCAAGAGGACCAGGCCTTTTCAGTTCCATGGAAAGAGTTGGTGGCCACCTTCTTCGGAATTTTTTTTCATACTTTTTTTTGCACGTATATTCATTTTTATTTTTATTTGCAATTTGCCAATTTCCATTGCCTTACAATATATTGGTACGGCGGATATTGTTTGGTCAATTGTAGGCTGCTTAATATTTTCCCTTTTATCCCATTATTAAAATAAATAAATAAATAAAATCCCCGGCCCTATTATTCTGTTTTCAAAAAAAGAAATTATTTTGACAAACCCAGTTATTCTTTTCTGTTTATCTCTTTTTTAATTATATAAATTACATTCATCAGAATTACACACAATCCCAAATATATATTGAAAAAAAGGAGCTAAAAATAGATGTTACAGGAAAAAAAATAAAAAAAAAATTAAAAATACCACACTAAAACAATGAGACCAAAATTGATGCCCCTATAAATTGATGCAAGAAAGTTATTTGTTTAATTCTTTGACTATTTTGGTTGTTCATATTTCGACTTTATATCTAGCTATTTAATTCCCAGTGGCTTGCAAAGTTACAGTTTATAATGATTGATCGTCTAGTTGAGTTGTTTGCAATATTGTTTTGATGAATATTTCTTTGGAGAATATGTTACAGAGTATGTTTGCAAGTCATCTTAATAGGAGATTACTCTATATGGATCATTTTATATATATGGGTTACCTATGATAAAAATATTTTACAAACATTTGTTATGAAAATGAATTTAAATTTAGTTGTGTACAATAACTGTTAGAATTAATATTACCCAAAGGCAATGCATTTAATTTGGAACGGAAAATTCAATAAAGAGCTTTGAAAATTTTATTATAGAATAACGTCTTCCCGAAAGAAATTAAATTGGTTGCAAAATTTTTGAAAAGGTATATATAGTATCAAATGGATCAAATTTCATTTGTACGGAGTATAGCATTTGTTTTCCTAAGTTATACTCCATAATCAATTATTGTAATGCAGAGTATATATATATATATATGAAAACAACTCAAAAGAATTATTCATATAATTACTTTCACTTCCAGGTAGGGGTGTAAATGAACCAGGTCAAATCAATAAACTACTCGGGTTCAAGCTCGGTTGAAACTTGCTTGTTCATGTTCGTTTATTTGATAAATGAGCCAAGCTTGAACAATTTTGAAGCTTGTTTAATAACTGAGCTTGAACTCTAACATAGATGTGCTCGTTCAAATTAGTTCATAAACAACTCGTTTATTTATGTTTACGAACTACTCGTTTATTTATATTCATGAATTATTAATTTATTCACAATTGTTAATTTGATTCTTAAGTTTTTTAATAATTAAGATTTAATTATTAGGTTTATAATTAGGATTTAATTATTATGCTAATGTTGAGATATTCAAATGGCAAAAGTATAAAGCTCGTTTACTACTAAGTTCGTTCATGAAACGCTTGTTTATCAACTCGTTTAATAAACGAAACATTCACAAACCGTTTGCGAACATACAGTGTACTAAATGAGCTGAGTTTGAACAGATTTTTAAGCTCGCTCAAAAGCTCGGGATTGTGCTCGCACTCGCATAAGTTAAATGAACTTGAACGTGAACAAGGTATTACTCGGGTCGGCTCATTTACACTCTTACTTCCAGGATGATAAGCCCTGCATATGAGAAGTATATACTATTGAATTGAACTTGTTTTCTTAAAATAGGTAAAAATAAGGTGAATAAAATTAATAATAATACAAGGGGGACGAGATAGGCTAAAAGACAAAAATTTGTTTAATTGCCTTTTTCAATTACTTCTTTTGTTTGTTTTGCGGTTGTCAAATACATAAATAAATAAATAAATAAAATACTTCGCATTATAACAAATTAAACAATGTATTATTTCCATTCTAGATTTATGTTCATAAATAGTACGAAGTATGCCAAGCATATTTTTAATTATTTGAATGGAAAAAATATGTCAAGTGTTAAGATTTGTAATTTAAAAAATTAAAATTCTCGATATAATTCAATTCAAGATACAAAAATATAATTGTATAAATTTTTTAGTGCATGTGACCATGTGTTGGATACTTCAAGCGAAGCTCCATGAAAATGTAATGACGTTTGTTCCACCACCCCACCACATGGGTCCACCCACCTCTACTTTTCTTTTCACCAACCACAACCGGTCCAATCCTCCAATTATACCATTTTAAATTTAATAAACCGGACCAACCCGGTTCATCTATTCCATATATATAACCAACGTAAGCATTTGTGACCATTAACTACAAAGTCATAGAGTTGATTAGCAAAATTAATTACAACACTAATCAAGATTAAGGCTTAAGTTGCGAGAGAAAATCATAAAAATGGCGGATGTTGTAGTAGAGAAGCAAACCACCAATGAAAATCAACAAGAACAACCAAAAACTACAGAAATCAAGCATTCTGAAGTTGGTCATAAGAGTCTTCTTCAAAGTGATGCCCTTTATCAGGTATTAATTTCTTGATTTAAATTATAGATTCACAAGTTATAATTTCATATCTAAATTATTTTATAATATGGTTTTCATAATTGTTTTTCCAGTATATCCTTGAGACTAGTGTCTACCCAAGAGAGCCAGAACCCATGAAGGAGCTTAGAGACATCACTGCAAAGCATCCATGGTATGTGTTTTAATTTTCGATTTCGATCTGGATTTTATTTAGTTCAGGATTTAGTTGTCGCGTTACTAGTTTAAATTACACTGTCGACGTGACTATTGTTTTCAAATCGAGGAGATCTATATTACGGAAAATAATTAGTTATTATTTTGGGATTGTACCAGGAATCTTATGACAACATCTGCAGATGAAGGGCAGTTTTTGAGTATGCTTCTTAAGCTGATTAATGCAAAGAACACAATGGAAATTGGTGTTTACACTGGTTACTCTCTTCTTGCTACTGCTCTTGCTCTTCCTGAAGATGGAAAGGTAATTAATTGATTAATTAACCTTATCCTAAGATTACTAAATATGATATATTTCCTTAATCTTGTTTAATGGTTATTTTAGTGAATAATTTCAAATTTGTTTCTAATTTTAGTAGAATTATGATGATTGTATTGTGGGTGGATTCCAGATTTGGTTAAATTAAATTGATTTAATTTTTGCAGATTTTGGCAATGGATATAAACAAGGAAAATTATGAATTGGGTTTGCCAGTAATTCAAAAAGCTGGAGTTGCCCACAAAATTGATTTCAGAGAAGGTCCTGCTTTGCCTGTTCTTGACGTAATGGTCGAAGATGTAAGTATTGAGTATTTTTTTTGGATGAAATCAAATTTATTTTTGCCGCAACTCTTGTAAATCATGTGATAGAATGGATAGAAAATTGATGTTTTTGGTATAAATTATGTGTCAGTTATTTTTAGGTGAGTGAATAAATTGGGTAGACCGATATTAAT